CCTTCCACTCCTTCCGCTCCTTCCGCTCCTTCCGCTCCTTCCGCTCCTTCCGCTCCCTCCGCTCCTTCCGCTCCTTCCGCTCCTTCCGCTCCTTCTGTTCCCTCCGCTCGCTCACCTCCTTCGACCTCTGCGGTAAAAGCACCGGAAGCTGTGGGAAAGCGACCAAAGGAGACACCAACGACTGCTAGGACAAATAAACTACCCACTGTTGCGACGTCTCCAAAATTTGCGGTTAGGAGCACTGGCAAGGTGCCGGGTGGACAGCCGGTGAAGCGCGGGGGCGGGGGCGCTGCGGGGGCGGGGGTGGTCGATGCAGCGCCGGGCGGGGATGCGACACTGCTGCCAATTCTCCCCACACCTCCGAGGGTCTCAGGCAACCGTGGGCTGGACCGTTCGGGGAAAGGGTCACCGCGTTTACGGTGTAATGCGACTGTGGTTCAGTTTGACTTTTCTCAGCTCTTCGGCTCGGTACAGGGCGGACGAGCACCACAACATTATTCACCGAGACAAAACGGGTTATTTTATTCCCACAGACATCCCAACTTGTCCCAAGGAAAGGGGTACCTGCACGGAGCGGTGGGTGATGAGAAGACGTCTTGGAAAATGTCAAGCCCAGCTAGAGGTGGTGATAGCGTTGCTCCTGGTACTGCTTTTTGGGGAGATACGAATATTAGTGATGCTGGTAATGCAGGTTCGTTGACGTCGTCGCATGCACCTTCTCTGGCGTTCAATTGGTTGCCGCATTTTCTCTCGCAACGCGTTTTGACGTCAAGTGTACCAAAGGAGCGTGAGTACAATGCTCTTACCGTTGGTGGCAACGCCCTGTTTGCGACTTCGAATTCAACGGCCCTGCAACCTTCCCCGCGACATTCTCAAGCACAAACGACACATTTTCTACCAAATGCTGCGCTGGAGGCGAGGCAGGCAATGCATGCATGGACAACAGGTCCGTCTGTGCGTGTGGGACAAAGAGATGTGGAGGTAAATGGATTTACGATTTCTGGGCATGGGTACGGTGAACCACATCCCCCCGGTGGTGACGTCACGCCTCAGCAGCGTGTTATTGGCGATGGTGGTGGCGGCGCTGGCCTTTATGCATCGGTAGATCCCCATTGGGGTTTATTCCGCCCGAATGCAATAATCATGGATGACATCTTGCGCCGAAGGCCCTCCCTGTGGCGGTTTATGCGTGACAGTCATGCAAGAGTGAGGCACGCACCGCAAACGTTCTCCCGGTCTTGGATGCAGCGAATAAATTGTAGAAACCGGGCGATACAAGGCTTCCTGAAGCGCCACTATCAAGCAACTCATCCCCAATGGGCGCCGTTGAGCCTATTTAACCCGCTGACATTTGAGCCGCCGCAAGACGCCCACATTGGTTTCCCGCGATATCCTAGGATGCTGTTACGTGCGCTGGGGCGAGAGAGGTACGCGAAACGGCCACCGCGACCTTTGAGCTTTGTGAAGAGTGCCTCTCGATGCCATCTGCGTGAGAAGCCCCAGTTGGAGTATGTCCCTTTTATAATTAAAGGCTGGGGTGGGGGGACCCGCCAAGATGCGAAGGAGGGCACGTTGCCCTTTTTTCATATTCCGTAGCGTTGCCAGTATGTGATGGATAAACGTGAATGAGGAGTTTTCTCCTTCTTCGTGATATGTACATATATATGTCTTATCTTATATATATATATATATATACTCCCTGTTTGTTTTTTTGTTTGTTTGTTTGCCTTCGTCGACGCTCAAAACGAGTGTGAGGCCTATCCCAGATGTATAGAAGGGGGAAGAGGGGGGATCCATTTACGGAGTTTGAGTTTGTGACGGATATCACCCGATGTTAGTCTTTCCTCGCATCCTGCAGGGGCATGTTTTTCTTTCTTTCTTTCTTTCCCCTGCGCCGTTTTTATGCCTCAGCACTTGTGACTTTTGTCCCTTTTGATGGCCTTTTCGCCCACTTCCGTTGTTTCGTGGACGCCTGCTGCTGGAGCTGAGGGACGCCTTTTTTTTCCACTTTTTGTTTGTAGTTGCTCTTGCCTCATTTCTTTTTGCAGTGGGGCTTCCACAAAGGTGTGCGAACGCAGCCCACTCTTCCGTGCATTGGTGCCCCCCCGCAGGGCGGCTAGCCTGAACGAAGCGACTGGTCTGATTGTGTGCTTGAGGGGCTGGGGGAGGAACCGTCGAAGGGGCGGGGCGCGGCTGCCAGGTAGCACAGTCTCGAAGGAACAATGGAAAACAGAAGGCGGCAGCGGAGGACCACCGCAATGACACAGCACGAGAAGGCAGCTCCTTCGCCACGGCCCACCGTTCCGCTGCAAGTTGTAGAGCTCAGTGATGAATTTGTGAAGCTGCTTGGGGTGGACCGGCGGTCCGCGGAGTCCCTTCAGCCTCTCTTTGCGGCGCGCTGCCAGCAGCTGCTGCCTGCCCCACAGGGCACGCACGGCAACCCCAACAGGGGGGCGCGTGAGGCGCTGGGGGCACGTGTTGCCCCGCGTGCGGTGCTGCTGACAAGTAGCGGTTCACTTTTTCTGCTCAAGCACCGTGGCGGCAGTAGCGCTGTTGTGATGGAGCGTCTTGAGTTTGGCGCGTACCTGCAGCGACACGGCAAACACCCAGGGAGGAGGGTGGAGAGGCCAATCCTGCAACACCTGTCAGGCAGCGAGGAGGCAGAGGAAGAGGATGACGACGACGACTTTCACTTTCTTGCGGGCTCTTCTGTGCCACAGGACGAACCGTCGGCACGGATAGACGTCGTGGTGGATGAGCGTTGTCTGCCTAACGGCAAGCAGTCTATCTGCATCACGGGCTGGGCATGCAGGGCAGGGAAGTGGGCACGGCACGCAGCGGCGCCGTCCCGGTCTGGTGCCACACAAACCTTGGCAGGCACCGCGACTAGTCGTGCCGTGGCGTCTGGCGGTGGTGGGACGACGATGACGGGGCGTTTTGTGGTGGCGCTGCAGTTCCACGCCAAGTCAGGCCTGCTGGCGGGCGTTTTGGCTCTGAGGCTCAAACAAGTCGCGGACCACTTCAGGAAACTGGACGTTGTGAAATTCATTGTGAGCTCCCAAAGCTACTCCCTGCACCACGCGCAGCGGAACATGGCGCTCTGTCGCGTGGCGTCAAAACCGTTCGTGTCGTCGTCGTCGTTGTCTCTCTCGCCCCGCCGCGTCACCGTGAGGGACATGCTCTGCTGTGGCCTTGAAGTGCCCGTCACCGTGACGCTGAGTAACAGCGATGACGACGATGACGACGACGACGGCGAGGCGTCCACGCACGCCTTTGCTTACACATCCTCCAAGTCCTCCTCCTCCGCCGCTTCCTCGCGGCTGTCCTCGATGTACACAACCGACACGGAGGCGGAGCGTGGGGCCGGCTTGGCTGAGCTGGGGCACTGCTGTTTCTCCACGGACCACACACTGCAGAGCGACGAGACCTTTAATGCCCGGCTTGTGGAGTTGCTAGACGATATTGCGCGCGTGGAGGGTCTGCTGGTGATGTATCGGGCGCACGGGCAGCCAACACTTCTGTAATGCGGGGTGACGGGGCGGCCGCCAACCATTAGCGGGGGAGGGGGTGGGAGCGTGAAGCTGTTACTTCAACCCCTCGCTCTCCACTCATCCCCTCCTTTTTTTTTTTTTTCGTTCTTTCTTTCTCTTGCCGCATGCTGTCTTGGCATTGTTATCGAATAAATTCTTCTCTCAGAACACGTTGATTTATTTTTCCTCGTGCTAACTGGAGATGAGTTTGACACCCATCAACATCGTCTCCGCTGCCCCTGCCCGCGAGCTCTCTCTCTCTCTCTCTCGCTTTCTTATTCTCCACATCTTTACAATTCTTTTGCTATCTGTGAAGCGAAGCACTAAAAGTGTACGTCTGTGGGCGTGGAATAGAGTGGCGCCTGCCGCAGACCCGTTTCAGCTTGCCCCCCACACACACACACAAACATATAAATAGGCCCACGCCTACGTGTAGCTACTTCTTCTTCCGTACCCACTCCACTCCACTCCACTCCGTACGCTTGTCTTCCTCGATCGCAGGTTCGTGTCGTGGTGACTGGGGCTGGCGAACGCGCGACATCGGTAGATACGTAACTGACAGGCGGGCGTACTTGGATATATAGATAGATAGATAGAGAGAGCGCACGCACGCATTATTATTATAATAATTATTATCTGCATCATAGCATGAACGTGGATGAGATTTATCGCGACGAGGCGTCGGCGGCGAGCATCCCGCAGCTGCGGGGCCGCCCGTCGCTGCGGCTGGCGCCCCTTCCGAGCACGCCGCCCCCTCCGACGCCGCTGAAGTGTTGCGACACCAACACGATGGGGAATGCGAAGCAGACTCGATATCTGCGCAGCCGTCGAGGGGTGCTGAGCGCCGTGCGTACAGCACCGACGTCGCCGGTGGAGTTGCGGCCGCGAGCGGTGCCCCCTCAAAGGCCGCTTACGCCAACCGTCACCGCAGCCCCCCCGCGCCCTCGCGGCCCCGCCCTGATAGAGCCAAACGACGACAATGTTGGCAGTGGCTGGTGTTTCCCGCAGGTTGTTGGCGGCGTCACCGCAGCGGGGGGAGGGAGTGCCGGCGAGGAGGAGCAGGTGGAGGGGGAGGAAGAGAGTTTGGCTCTGAGCAGTCGGTGGGTATCATTTTCGTTTGCCAGTGCACTCACCTCGCGGCGGCAGTCCGAGAGTTGCCAAGCGTCGCCGTCGCCGCGGCCGCGGGCGGCCATCCTCCCGTCAAATTTTCCCGATCTCCACCTTTCTGATGAGGAGGACGCACCGACTGAGTGCGTCACCGCCGCCACTAGCATGCGCCGCACCCCAACATCTGCGCCACCGCCGCCGTCGCCCAGGCGGCCATGGGTCGCCTTCCATGATACCTCTGTGGAAGCCCTGAAGGGGGAGGAGAAGGAGGAGGACGAGCAAGACGGACTTGTCGCAAGGGGCAGAAGGAGTCTGCTGCTGACCTCCGCCCCCGTCCCCCATGCACTAGAGGCCAGTCCCACGGCTGGCATGAACGCCTGCCCCAGTGAAGGGGAAGGACTGCAGCCGATGCGTCGCAGTCATGGAAAGCGCGAGCGATCGGCTCCACCCTCGCCATGGACGACTTCCTTTGTCCTTTGCGACAGAGCCTCCTCATGCCACGTCGCGACTGTGACTGGCACGAGGGCGGCGGGGAGGCGGGAAGAAGATGTGGCGACTGAGGCGAAACGGTCAAAGACGGAGTCTTCTCTGCTGTGGCCCCAGACACATGCGGAGGTGACACGACGCGAGGGGACTGCCGAGCACGACACGGAGAGCGGCCCGTCTGCCGTCACAGTGCGATCGTTCATACCCACTGCTGACGGTGGAGCGTCAATGGTTCTCGTGGACGGCCCCACCCCAACCCCGTGGCGTGAACGGTTTGCTCCTCCTCTTCCTCCTGTCGCCGCCGCCGGCGGCGGCGAAAGTGAATGCCGTGTTTCGATGGTAGTCGACATCCGCTCCAGTGACACCGTTGTGACGCCCAAGGCGCTCTTTGGCGAGGCAACCGCAGCTGACGACGATGCTGTGAACGTGCAGGAGGGTGGGAGGGCTGTAGGCGCCGAGGCCAACGTTGTCGTTTTGCGTCAGCACAATGCCCGCGATGCGGCTGCCACGGCGGTATGCGGACCAGAGGCAGAGACACCGACGGACAAGACGGTGGGCGACGGTTGCGGCGCGAGTGACGAAAGTTTTGTGGTGCCGACTTCCTGCGCACGCCCAAGTGATGAGTTGAAGGCATTGATTGAATCCACACGAGAGGAGGTGCGGCAGGCGAGCGAGCGGATTATCGCCGCCCTTCACGCCCACCGCTGCACATCCTGCGAGGAGGGTGGCGGTGTCGGTGTCAGCGTCGGCGGCGAGGACTGCACCTTGATTACTGACTCGCTGCAGCTGGCCGTTGGTAGAGCCTTGACAGGGCCAAGCGGCGACGCCGCCAGCAGCAGCAGCAGCAGCCCCTGGATATCGACGGAGAGCGGCGAGCTGCGACGTGAGCTGGCAGCGCGTGCGGGTTGTATTTTGCGTCGTCTGCGCGGCTACGATCACACTGATGCGGGAATCCTTCCAATGGCTGTAGTGGCCCGTGTGGTGCGGCAGGTGCTGTTTCATGACGCCACCGCTGACGCAACGCCGGGGCGTTGCAGCGAGGGCTCGGTTAATCTTTCGTGGGGTCTTGCCTCGCCCTCCCTGGTGTGTTGTGCTACTCCGGAAGCGCAGCAGAAGCCGCAAGGCGCAGAGGAAAGTGCCATGGAGCTTTGCATGAGTCTCTGGCGATGCTTCCGTGAGCGCTTCGGCGCGCGCCACACGGCAACCCGCTTTGGCATCATGGGCAGCGCGGACGCAGACGGCGATTTGGGGGGCAGCAGCCGCAGTAGTAGTAGCAGTGGCAGCACAAGCCACACGTATGCGTTTGCGACCTGCTTCCCACGTGTGCGACTGCAGCTGAGTCCACTGGGGCAACCGCTGCCGTCCTCACCGCCGCAGTTAGACACCTGCATTAACTACAGTACGTTTGCAGCCAGTCTCGTTGAGTTGAACTAAAAAGCAATAGTAATGCAACTGCGTATGCACGTGTGTGTGTGTGTGTGTGTATTTACTTCTATCATGCATTCATTCCCTGCGGGTTTGTAGAGCTGGGGCTGCTGCTGGCTCACACACACGTGGAAGGAAGGGGCCCCATTCACACAAACGGCTCATGACCTCATCGTCTTTTTTTCCTTGAGCTAGATGCGATGCCGGGTGGTGATGTTGGTTGTGGTGGGAAGAAGAAGGACAAAATGAACACAAGCCAAGTTCTTGTCTTTTTGTTTTGTTTTTGTGGGAGTTTGCCGGTTCGTCTGCTTTCGTTTTCGTGGATGCCTGCGTGTACGGTTGCGGTCACCACCTTTAGAGTCTATTTCTTTTGCAGTCTCTGTTTCGCGCGGATTACTCCACGACGTTCAATTCTCACCTGGACGGCTGGATCTGCTGCGATCCACATGCATTAGAAGCTTTTATTTATTTGTTATTATCATTTCTCTTTTTGTTCTTGGCGACGGCAGTTGTTGCGCTTGCGGCGTGCATGCCTCGCCGCTCGCTGGCGGAAGTACTTTTTCTCTGCGTGTGTGGCAGGGAGACGCTGAGCGGGGAGGCCTCACACGATGCCTGCGGGGCTCGCATTTGGGTTAGATCTGCGTTTAAAAAAAGGAAAAAAAAATTCCTCCTTCTTCCTCCCTGAATGCGCGCCTCTGCAACACGTACTTGCTGTGTGTGTGTGTGTGTGTGTAAGGGCTTGTCTATGGACTTCCGGTGTTTGGGCTTTTTTTTTCCGCCTGTTCACGTTGTTAGCTATAAGAGGGCCATCGCGTAGAAGAGGGAGAGGCCACAGCAGCAGGAGGTCACACGACACTGGCCCTACTGGTAACCACAGCTGATTCACACACACACACACACACACACACACATGAAAGCAGGGTGTGACAAGCAGTTCCGCATGGGCGAGGAGAAGGCGGAGTTCAATCAGTACTGGTACTCGCCGCACACCATCAGTGCTATTATTGCTGAGGTGCTCCATCACGCGACGGCGTGTGCGTTTTTGTCGACCCCGTCGCTCTACTTTGCCCTGGTGTGTGATCCGGAGGGAACGGGGGTCACCGATGCCTCTGCTTCTGTGGCGGGGGGAGCTGCGGCAGCACTCGCTGCCAGAAGTCGTCTGTTCGAGTTTGACCGACAGTGGGAGAAGGACCCGGGCTTCGTGCACTACGACTTCCAGAGACCGGAGCAGGTGCCGGTGCAGTACCTCGCCGCCTTTGACTACATCTTGGCCGACCCGCCGTTCATTACGGAGGATGTCTGGGCTGCGTACGTGCAGACCGCCAGGCTGCTGCTTCGCCCTGGCGGCAAGCTGCTGTTCACCACCGTGCTGGAGAACCACACCATGCTGGAGAGCCTGCTGGACGCCCCGCTCTTCATCGCCCCGTTTCGCCCCGCCATCACCCACCTGACATACCAATACGTTTGCTTCACAAGCTACAAGGCCACGAGGCTCGCACGGGTGAACTCCGAGCTTCCACCGGAGGACGAAAAGATCATGGCGGCTACACAAATGGCAAATGACCTGCGAGAGTCGGAGCGGGAGTTCGCTGCGCAGATGCGGCAGAGGGATCGGCAAGGCGAGGTACCGTTGCCCGTCACGCAGCACCACAACGCGCCGAGCACCGAGCTGGCGGATCTTCCGATTAGCGCCATGAAGTGGGGGTACATCCCGGCCGGGCTGACGGTGTACGCGAACGGCAGAACGACGCCCCCAGCCAACTCCGGCGACCACGACTACGGCAGCGTCTATCGCGAGGTTGAGGCGCTGCGGGTGATGCTGGAGAACTTCAAGCGGCTCATTGACCTCTCGCAGAAGCACCTCGACGTCCTGCTGCGGCTGCAGCAGAAATGCAAGAAACAAGGGGAGGGGGCAGACTCATCCGCCGCGGAGACCGCGCTGCTGGCAGCAAAAGAAGTGTTTGCCAAGACGCTGGAGGAGATGCGGGGAATTGTTACGAACGTCGAGTCAAGTGAGGCACGTGTGTCGGCCGAGAACGGCGTAGCGGCGCCGAGTTATATTGCCGCCATGAAGGAGTGCGTGGAGGCGTACGCGGCGGTACCGCTGCAGAAGCGGTGGCTGAACGAACTTGCGGCGGATGCCACGCGTAAGTTCAAGTCCCCCGTGTTCAACCGAATGAAGGAGCTGCTGCAGCGGCTGAAGGAGATAAAGAGGCAGCAGCCATCCTGGACGGTGGCTGCAGACGCGACACCCTCCAGTTGACCGACACGACCCGCCTTTTCCATCCACCGTCACACGCAGTTGCGGTTGCCAAACAGCAACTCATTATTATTATTATTATTTTGTGCGTATGATCTTTCAAGGAATGGGAGCGTTCAGGAGGAGATAGCTGCAGAGGAGAAATGAGGAGAAAAATCATTTCTCCCCTTTCGTCACACACACGCATAGAGGGTGGGGTGAAAAGAGGCGGATGGGCTTCATCTTATATATTCACGGGGAAGAGGATTGTGTGTGTGTGTGTGTGTGTGTGTGTAAGAGCCGCACGACGGGGACGGGGATGATTGCATGGAACTGTAACGATGAAAGGCAAAGGGAAAACTACATGCGTGCCCACACGTGCACACGCGTACACGTCTGTGCGTATTGTCTTGCGGCGACATGTGCTATTATTATTAATGTTATTATTATAATTTTGCTTGTCTGTACACCCCGTCCCTTCTCTTGATTTTTATTTCTCCTTCTCCTTTGCATGCATGTGCCCCACAATCCTCTTCATGTCTCTTTCTCTTTCTGTGTGTCTGCCGGGGTGGGGGGAAGAATAGTATTCTCATCAGCTTAGGACTTTATTTGGTGACTTTGTTGTTTCTTTACCTGAGAGTTGGCGGAGGGTATTGGGTGAGGTTACTTCGCCACGGTATTGCTGTATAATGTTTTCCTTGGAGTTTGCGAGCGGCCGCCCGCTTGGTAGCGCGCCGTACTACTCGCTTGTCGTCCGGGACCCGTACATTGTTGGCAGGGACCGCAGCGCCGATATCGTCCTGGACCACGCCGACATTGCAACGCAGCACGCCTCGTTGACGGTGATGCGTGAGAGCCAGGCGCGGAAGCTGCAGCAGACCCAGCTGCTGCACCGGCGGGCGCCCGGCGGCGACGATGACGACGAGGCGAGCGGCACAGACGACAACGACGGCGAGGTTGTGGGAAGTTTTCTCAACGACGCAAAGACACAGATGAACGGGGTGGTGTCGATGAACGATTACCCCACGATGGACGGGCCGGGTAAGGAGGCGGATGAGCACGACCCCACGGCGGAAGCAGGCTGGGATGAAGCGCCGAGTCAACTGCACGGGAACAACCCACTCGTGTTGCGCGTAGTGAAACTCCCTGACGGCGGCGACGTGCTGGCGAATGAAACGGCGGTGGTGAACCACCCGGTGTACCTTGCCGACGGCGCACAGCTGCAGTTTGGCGCCCACATTCGCCTGCGCCTTCGCTTTCGCCCGCTTGTCGTGAGCGTCGCCCGCGGCGTCTTGAGCGCTGACGACGTGCGCGAGCTGGAGACGATGTACTACCGTCTAGGTGCCACGACGACGGGGCCGAGCGGGCCTACGCCGCTGCTTGACATGCCGCAGCCAATCGGCAGGTTGTACTGTGTAGAGGCCATCAATGACGATCCGTGTTGTCTCATGGCGCTCGCCAGCGGCTACTCCATCGTCCAGCCGAAGTATGTATTTGAGTGGTTTGCCGCACTCGCTCAAGGTGCCTCCTCGCCGCTCACCGTCCTGCCCCCACCCGTGCGCTTTGAGGTGCCGATTCAGTGGCACGGAGCCACGGCCGTACACACAGCGTTTTACCTCCGGCCAGAGTCTGACGTCTGCCCGTTTCCATTGTACCCGATTCCCACCACGGCCACACGGAAGCGTTCTCGCGACGCCTTGTTCAAGGGGAAGAAGTTTTTTTTCGTGACGAGCGCAGTGGAGCAACGCTACAAGCAGCCCGTGCTGGCCTGCGGTGGGGAGGTTCTCCACTTGGAGGATATCGTGGCCATCACGGCGGAGGCATCCGCCGCTCAGACGCCAGCGGCTACCGAAGGCGGTGGCGAGGACGATGCTGCACCCCACACCACCGAGGACGGCGACCCCGCGATGGACGCTAAGAAGAGGAAAAGTGAGGAGGGGGAGGCGAAGTCCCCTGCAGTCAAGCACTACGTTGTGGTGGACGCTGACACGGAGGGGGTGCTGCAACTGAACAGTGACCCCGCCCTGGACTCGCTCCATAGCCTTTTGGAAGAGGCCGAACGCGCGGGCATTGCGGTGCCCATTATCGCCGAGCGCAGCCTCTTCTACTCGCTGCTTACCAACCGTCTCACCGTCTGTGAGGTGGCGAGGGCTTCCAGCGCCGATGCCGTTCAAAGCGGTAGCCAGCTGCTGCCCCACAGGGAATCTCCCTCGGTGGGTGTTGAGTACACCGAAGGTGGCAACGAGGTCCCTGCTACTTCGATGGGGTTGGGCGCGCGTGTCTTGGACTTTGCTTCGTACACTGCAGGAGGGGCGCCGCTGTCGCGTCGCCGGGTCGATGTTTGCTTCCGCACGCAGTCGCCAGGGACGAGCCGTAGGCGGGAACACGGGACGGCTGAGGCGACAAAAACGCAACAGCGCGGGCGACATTCACCGACAGCGATGCGGGACGTGGTGGGAGTCAACCTCTGGGAGGCGCTCCGTCTTCGGGTGCGTGCGTTTGTGCTACGGGATGGGGCAAAACTACAGGAGAACCTTGCGGGATCGTGGCGAAATCTTTTCGTTGACGCGGAGGTGCTGGAACACGCCCGCGAGTGCCAGATCCAGTCGGTGGGATACCTTGATAAGCTGGAAGGCATGCTGCCGGAGCTTGGCGAACACCCGCGCCTCGCCAATGACGTTTACAACGTCCAGAAGGACTGCCACGAGGTACTACGCACAGCACATGAAATTGTGGAGATTGCCAAGTGCGCCGCACGGCGTTCTCAACACCCGAGCCGCCCGCGTCGCGTGTCGCTGAACGGCCTGCTGCAGCATCCGTGCACCGCCCCCATCGGCAGCTGGATGCCGCGCCGTTCGGTTTCCCCCGAGGTGGGGAAGGGGCGGGACACAATCCTCCGTGGGTCCTCGCCGCTGGCGCCGGTCACGCAGCTGTTCACGCCACGGCGTGCCGGAAAGACGTCACTCGCCACACCCCGTTCAACCCGTGGAAGGGGCGGTAAAAAAGCACACACCACACCGGCAGCCGACACGTCCGCGCACGTCAAAGAAGCCCATGACAGCAGGCAGGCGGTTCTTTTCGCCCCTACGCCAGGCACGACTTTCCCAGAGCCTGCGGGCGAGGCACCGCGGCAAGTGCCCCTGCTGCCCTCATCACTGCCGCTGTCGAGGTTGGAGCCGCCCTCCGTCGTGCATGTCCGCGGTGCCGCGTGGCAGACTCCTCGAACGGTCCTTCAGCCGCCGCAACATTCCGCAGAGCCAAAGGTGGAGGTGTCTGTCGTGCCACAGGTGACATCTGCACGGCGTTCAACGATGAAGCCCCTCCACTTAACGCATCTTGCAGCTTGCGGGCTCAACAGCGGTAAAAACAGTGGACGAGCATCATCATCCAGGTGTGTGGTTTCTTGGAGGGAGCTCTCAAGCTCGAGGAGTCATGGTCAGCACAGGACTAGCTATACTCCGCGGCGGCAGCACAGGCAGCGCACACCCCGTCCACATTCCGGACGTCACATCCACATCGCAGTTGATCGGATCATCGCGACGCCCGCACGCTGACATTAGAATACACGGTGGTGGAATTCGCTGGTTTCAGGTGGAAGTGTTTTTATGCTTTTCGGAGGCAGCTTGTGCTTGTGTGTACATGAGAGAAAACAAGGCAGGCGGGAGTGGGTGGTTTGGGGAGCAGGCGATCGTGCAGAATGTATGGTATGTACATGTTGTTTTCTATTTCTAGTGCACATGTGCAAACGACGAGGGCGAGGAGGAGGAGGAGGAGGAGGCAGCAGAAGCCGTAACTGACCGAATAAGTAGAAACGCACGCACGCACAGCAGCGGCAGGAGGAGGAGGAGGAGGAGGAGGAGCGAAGCCAGTTTCTGTTAGTTGTTCATTTTTGGTTTCACCTGGCGAGGTGGCTTTTATGCTTTTACCACCTCCCCTCCCCTTCGCAGCCGCTGTTGTTGCGACACCGCTCAGCGCATATCTCCTCCACGTGGGCTGTGGTGCTGTCGGTCCTGCGGTCGTGCCCTCTCCCCTTTCTCCCCCGGCTCCCTGCACATCGTGCGCAGCAACAAACACACCCACACGCACACACAGTTGCGTATGTACATAGCCTCCAAATCAGCCAGGGAAAAGGGCTGCGTATTTTCTCTCATGGGAAAGTAAAAGAAGCAACAACAAAACAAAACGAAATATGCATCACGTCTAGACCCCGCGCGTTCTCCGTCTTTGTTGCAAATGCCACGGTATCCCGCACCTGTTGCGGGAGAGAACGCGGGACGGTGTGGTTGCGACTGCGATTTTAAGTTTGTTTGTTATGAATATGTAAGTGGAGGGGTTTGGGCAAACGACAGGGGCTAACGGCAGCAGCTGGTGGAGGGAGTTAATCCAAGGGCAAGGGGTCATACACAACACACGCGCAATTCTAGACACTAGGCATACGCATAATACGCACACACATACATACATATAGACATGCATACATGTGTGTTGTGTTTGTCACTTCCAAAAAGTGATGGTATGCGTAAAAGTTAAAAAACGAAACAAAGTTTAGGAAGAAAAACGGAGAGAGAAAGAGAAAGACGGTGAGGGGAGACCAAAGTGCGCCCATACTGTGCACACGAATGCCCGGACTGAGCGGGGAGGAGGTAGTGACGGTGGCGGCAGCGGTGGTGCGTGGTTTGGGCGTTGTTAGGCGTCTTCTTTCTTATCTATGCGAGTTGCGTATTTTTTGTTTTTTTTTGTTTTTGGTTTTCCCCTTCCCTTTTTTTTTCTTTTTGTGTTTTGTTTTGTTTGGATTTCTTCTTGTTGTCTTTTGAGTGCTCTCTTCCTTCCCCCCCCCTCCCCACCTCCCCTGCTATGCCGCTTCCTTCTCGTCTGTGCGGGGGGTTGCGGTGGTGTGCGTGGGGCGCTGCAGGGGGGTAGAGAGGGGGAAAGGGAGAAATAAGGAAAGAGAAAGAGAGTGAGAGTGAGAGATGGTGCCGTGGAGTGGGATAGGGATTAGGAACAGGAAGATTATTATTATTATTATTATTATTATTTATCTATTGAATTATTTGTTATTCCTGCCGTGTTTGCGCAGGCAAACACACACACGCACATCATCGTTACTTACACACGCAAAAACATCTTGTTCTGTGTTTGGTGTTTCCCTCCCTTTTCTCCACGCCCCCCCCACCCCCCCCCACCCCACCCCAGCTCTTATTTATTTATTCCCATGTGGTGGGTGCGCGTGGCCGCCCGCCTTCGTTTCTGCCTCTCTCCTTCTCCCTCTTCTCGCCTCTCTCCGCCTGCCGCACGCGGTTTCTTTTCTTTTTCTTTCCCTTCCTGTTTTTCTCCCTGCGGCGCCAGAGGGAAGGCCAAGGGCGGGCGAAGGCGCCCGGGCCTTCGCGCAGGCATCCCGTGCGGCGTCGGCTGCCGCCGTTGATGTGTTATTATTGCTGTCGTTAGTTTTGCCTCCTGATGGACGCTGCCGCGGAGACGGTCGTGACGTATTTTGGCGGATGGGCGGCGGGGCTGCTGGGGAGGCCGCGGCCAAGGTGAGTGCGCCGCGCGCAGCGTTCAGGCGCAAGTGCGGCCGCGACAACGAAAAATAAAGACTTCTGCCGTTTGTAGCTTGCCTGCGCGGCGCGTCGCCACTTGGAGCGGGGCGCCGGGGGTGTTTCTGCCACCGGCAGCGCCCCTGCCGCGCAATCCGTGAGAGCGAGCGTTTTGAAAAAAAAAAAAACGCAGTAAAGGATACGCGGGGGAGAGGGAACCGTTTTGCGCGGTGCTTTTGGCGAGATTCCCGGCAAGGGGGTGTGGCAGGCAGGTCGGGTGGGGTGGGCGGCGCTGGTTGCGGCGGGCGCGGCTGGGCCAGTGTTGCGGTGGGGGCGCGTGGCGCGCTTAACTTTTAATGCGCAACGGTGGTGTTGGCGGCTGTTAGAGACGCCAGCGCTGGGAGCGCAGGCGCGAGGCGGTTGGTGAAGAAGCCCTGGGTGTGCAAACCGTGCGGGCCCCGTTTTTGTTTTAGTGGCTCGGGACCGGGTCTGGCTTCATATCGCCGACGGGCGCTCTCTCCTTTTTGTTTTGTTTTTGTTGCGCGCCTGGTTGCGCGCGTGCGCGGTGGGAGGGGCGTGTCTGCATCGCCGTTTCTGTGGCAACCCCATTCGGGGTCGTTTTGCCCAGCCGTCGCGGGCGCCTGCGGCAACCTGTTGGCTTTTTTTTTTCGTAATTGTTGTAGCCCTTCCTGCTGTTGGTTTTGCGAGTGGGGATGTCCTTGCCGACGTGGGCCTTCGAGGGCGATGTCGGCCTCCAGTGCGTTGGGCTTGTGCTGGCGTCCGCCGTCGGGGTGCTGCTCTACTACCTTCCGCTGCGCATCCTGCAGCAGCAACGCAACACCCGGGCCCTGATGTTGCTGGAGCCCAACGCCAAGGCAGCTTCCGCCGGCCTGATGCTCTACTCGTGCTTTGGCATGCTGCAGCCACACCTCCCCAGCGGGCTCCGCACCTGTTTGGGCGCACCGCCGTCCTCTGGTGTGCTTTGCTTCCTCGGCGGCGCGGCCATTGGCAGCGGGCTCGTGTTCCACATCAGCCGGCACTATGGCGACGCCAGCCCTAATGCCGCAAATGCGGCGGTGCTTGCGCACGGCATCGCCGAGGGAGCGGGGTTGGGCCTTCTTGTGGGCAGCCCGGGGTTTGACGCCGTCTTCCGCGGGCAAGTGCTCCACGGCGTGCCGGATGGCGCGCTTGTGGCGATGGTGTCGCTCGGGCGCTACGGCCTATTGCGTGCGATGCGCACCGCGCTGTTCGCGCGTCTTGCGCAAGCTGCGGCATACTACGCGGCCGCCGTCTACCTGCCGCCCGTCCCCGAGGATGTGGCGCAAATCGCGGAAGGGGTGGCGCTTGGCTCGATGGCCGCCATGGTATGGGAGGAGCTTGCCAAACCTGCTCGCGACGCGCTGGGGGGCAAAACGGCCATACTCATCATCGCCGCCGCCGCAGGGGCCAGCGCCGCCGCTTGTTAGAAACACCCCCGAAAAAAAGGCAGGGCAAGACAGCAAATATCAAAAGGGACCTCTCGCTCCCCCCGCGCCTCTGCTTTGTACTTCAATAGTTCGGTAGGGGCACGTTCCTCCGAATCGGTATAAAAATAATCTGGGCGGCTGCGGCTCGGCGGGTGGCGGCCACCTCGCATGTCGCCGGCGGGCCCAGCCGCCAGGAAAGGCCTCTGCGGATGTGTTTGTTTGCCGGTGTGTGTCTGTGCGCGGTGGGCGCGCTGAGAGAAGCTGTGCTCTCCCGCTGTTTTCCTTCTTTGCTTTGCAGGAGTAGGGGGGCAGAGGGGGGCCCTGTTCAGGCACTTATTGTTTTTATTTAGAGTGTTAGCGCGCCCGGCGGCATGGAGGGGCAGGCGCAGGGGGTAGCGAAAGAGCAGCGGGGGCGCCAGTCGTCTGCAAGCCCCGCTGCGGCCTGGTCGTTGGCGCGCGACATCGGCGACGGTTTTGCAGTTGGGAGCGCCGTTTTTGCTCCGAGACGGCGGCAGCGCGCCGAGGCCCTCCAGTACGCACTGGCGGAGGTGACTGGTATCCAGGCCTGCGCCGGCACCGCAACAGTGGCCTTCGCAAACGCCGAGCCGGGCGTGGACGACGAGGCCGTTCCCCTGTATGCGTTGGTCCCTTGCCCGCGGGCCGCCCGCGCGCCCGGGGATGGCGCTGCGCGCGGCGTCATCTCGTGCTCTTCCGCGGGGCGTGGCTTGGGTGCGGCGGCGTGGGAGGAGCCGGTGTTGCCCCACACGGCGCGCGCCAGACAGGCTTCGTGCGACGGCGTTGCCAGCGGGGGCGGGCCGTCGCTGTCGTCGTCGTCGTCGCTTTCGCCCGAGCAGCCGGAAAGCAAAGGTGGGTGGCGCCTGCTGCGCTTTGCGCACGCGCCGCCGGAAAGCGTGGACGTTTTCTTTGCCCGTGCCTTTCGCGCGGTGCGTCGTACGGTCCTGCGGCGTCCCGAAGGCTGCCCGCCCGCGAGGCGGCTGCGGGTGGTGTTTTGCGTCTTCGACACCTACGGCGCCCTGAGCCGCTTCAAGGTGTATATGACGTTTCGCGGCCACCGGCTGCACCTCGTCGACGGCGTCTGCGCCCGTGCCGGGCCCGACTCTGCGGAGGGCGTGAACTGGCTCTGTCTCCTCGCGGAGGACGTGGGGGACGAATACGCGGCAGCAGGGCTTCTCGGCGATTGGCTGCCGCTGGGGCGGCCGGGGGCGGCCGGCGATGCGGCGTTGGTGCGGTTTGCCGAAGTTCGCGGGGGCACGGCTTGCGAGGAACGAAACGCAGAGGGAGCATCACGCGACGACGGCGACGACGCGGCAGTGCGGGCGCTGCTGGGTGTTGTGGGCGACGTCGGGGCGTTGGTGGCGTGCCGGCTTTCTCTTGGCGAGAAGGATGACGAGCTCATGGTGACGTCGTTGGCTTCGGCCTGTCGGAACCGCGCGCCGCTTGGCAGGCCACCGCAGGAGGGCCGGGGCGCTGATGGGGCCGGCCGCCGTTGGCAGCAGGGGTCCTCCATGGAGCTCCGCGTTCCCGCCAGCGCGTGGCAGCTGGATCTCCTTCGTTCACTGGCGGCGCGTGGCGGTGGGGGGCCCCCGCTGTCGTGCGCTGCGCCCCTGCCGCCGCATCTGCTGGAATCCGTGGCGTGCGGGAACGTGTTCGACGCGTTGCTTGCCTCCGCGCTTGCCCCCTCGCCTGGCGGGCGGCAGCTGCTTGAAGGCGTGAAGGAGAGGGTGGTGCGCAGCGGAACCTTCCTAGGCGACGCCGCCTTCCCCGTTTTGGCGGCTGCGAGGGCCGTTTTGGCGGACGTTCTGGCGGCGCCTTCAGCAGAGGAGCGCGCCTCACGGCAGAGGCGCGTGGTGCTCGGCCTCCCCGGCGCCGGGGGCGCGACAGACGATGCGGCAGCATACCTGCACGCTGTCCAGCGTTTTCTTCAGCCGTGGCACCTTTTTACCCTGGCGGCAGAAGCGCGGCGGCGGCAGCCGAGTGTGGCGGCG